ACTCATGTTTTGTTCCTAACTTCCTGAAATTGATCTTGAACTACTCAATAGCCTTTGTAGGTAAATAATTATTTTTAAAAAGTTGTCTTAACGTGATTAGTTATTGTAGCCTTGGCATTTCTAACTTGAATTGCTATAACTTAACAACAGTTGGTCTCGCCTCAAAATTTGAAACCATTTTTAAACACTATAAAATGAGACTCTGATGAGGTGTGGAAATTTTGGTCCAGATTGCCCTTGAGGATATGAAAGCTCTCAAACATTTAAAATCTTAAAGCCTGTTATGAGCGTATAACGCAATCTACAGATAAACACCCAGTGACTTGAATCATTTCTTCTTCTTGAATAACTTTACAATTACAAGTTATATCAGAAATGGGAATCCTTGTCCAGTTTTTGACATTTATTCTAAATCTACAGTTTATTATACAGCCCCAATTTCAGAGTTTGGACAGTGTGTGCAATACTAATAAAAACAAAAAGCAGTGATTAAGTGATTCCAAATTTTATGCCTGCAACATGTTTCAAAAAAGTTGGGCAGGGGGTGTGTTTGCCACTGTGCAACATGCACAGCACTTAATAATCATTTGGAGACTGAAGACACAAAGTAATCCAGTGGAATATTTTGCCATTCCTCTGTTATACAAGTTCTAAACTGTGCAATCGTACAGGGCCTTTGTCAGTTTTTGAGCTTAAGAGACATTTTCAGTGGGAGACAGTTCTGGACTGCAGTTAGGTCAGTCTAGCAACCATACTGTAATTACGCAGCCATGCTGTTGTGACATGCAGAAAGTGGCTGTTATGTTGAAATGAGCACGGACGTCGCTGAAAATACTCTGGATCGGATGGGCATGATGCTGACCTTATTAAACAAATCGGATATTGGCGAGATGGTCTGATACACATTCCACTGTATTTCATTGTTTTCAGTAAAGCTGCGGTGGAAATGGTCCACGAACTGCAGCAGTGAGCGGAACACTCTGTCAAGAGTTATTAAACATTTGTTGTCAACTGCAGCAGTGAAATGAACTGAATGTTTAGTTTTTATTTATTTATATAAATAAATATATATATAATGAATGATGGTCATTCATTTTTGCCAACATCATCACGGTCAACATGGCAACCAATAAGTAGCTTCATTAAAGGTTATGTCAGATAAACCATAATGATGCTTGCCTATTCAAGTAAAAGGGGCGAAAAGAGGTTCCTGTCTGATAAAATTTTGCTCCAGCTGCTTTGCCCTGCCCTCATTTCCTGCGGCCAGAGCAGCAGCCTGTGGTAAAAGGCTGGACAGCGGGGTGAACAACCCTGAATTTTTTTTTTCACCCTTTTCTTAAAAGCTGTCATGATTGTTTATGCTGCGGTGCATCAGAATAAAAGCCCCGTGCAGGAACTTTTCCCTGTACTGTATCAGCTTCGCGAACGAAAAGCTTTGCATTATCAATTTCATTTTGTTTTCCATTTTGCCACAAATAAATAAGCTTATTATTTATTTAAATAAGTAAATAAGCATTGGCCCAGAGAGGATAGTGCCGTTTCTGGCATATGGCTTCTTCTTTGCACGATACAGCTTTTATTTGCATTTGTGGATTACATGGCGAACTGTGTTCACAGCCAATGATTTCTGGAAGTGTGTCTGAGCGCATGCATTGATTTTCCAGTACAGAATCATGCCTGTTTTTAATGCAGTGAGGGCTCGAAGATCACAAGCATCCAGTATTGACCGTCTGTCTTGTCCCTTGTGTACAGGGATTTCTCCAGATTCTCTGAATCTTTTGATATGTACAGTAGATAGTGGGATATCCAAAGTCTTTGCAGTTTTACGTTGAACATTTTTCTGAAATTGTTGCAATTTGTGGATGCGGTTTTTCGCAGATTGGTGAACCTCTGCCCATCTTTGCTTCTGAGAGACTCTGCCTCTCTAAAATGCATCTTTTTATACCCAGTCATACGAGTTAGTTGCAAATTGCTCCTCCAGCTGTTTATTTTTATTTATTTATTTTTTTTTATAAGTACCCCTTACTTTTCCAGCCTTTTGTTGCCACTGTCCCAACTTTTTTGAGATGCGTTGCTGCCGTCAAGTTCTAAATGAGAATGTTTTTCATGAAATGGTAAAATGTCTCACAACACATCAGATGTTTAAAGTATGTTCTGTTGTGAATAAAATATGGGTCTATGAGATTTGCAAATCAATACATTCTGGTTTTATTTACTTTTATTTATATTTTACATAGCTTCTCAACATTTTTGGAATTTTTGGACTTTGTTCTTGTTTTTCTTTTTAGTTTCATTTTGTATAACTGCTGCTCTGTGCTCTAATTACAGCCTTTTAGTAGACACAGAGGTATACAGAATTGTTTTTTTTGTTTGTTTTTTTTTTTTTAAAGCTTTATCAGATCTGTTCAGTATCAGCTGTGCGTGTTGCAGGCATCAGTGTTCAGATATTGGGTTTGGTATTAGAATAGAAAACCTGGGATTGGTACATCTCTATGAACCATGATAGATGCTGCACTGGAAACAAACTGAATGGTCCTTTGGCCCTGAGTACACAATACACATTTCCACTGTGTGTCAGTCCATTTCAGATGAGTTCGAGTCCACAGAGATGTGACTTCCACTGTGCATAGTGCAGTCTTATTTTGCGTTTGTGTATGCGGCAATGAACAGTGTTTGACAAGTTTTTCAAAGTATTCTTGAGTCTATGCAGATATATCCGTTACTGAAACATGCCGCTTTTTAATGCAGTGCTGTCTGAGAAGTCGAAGGTCATGGGTTTTTGGTTATGGTTTTTGACCTTGCCCTTTACACACAGAAATTTTTGTAGATTCCTTGAATTTTTCAAAGATATTAGGGATCGTAGAGGGTCTTTGCCAACATTAATGGCATTTTGATGAACTCTGACTCCCCTAATTTTTTGCTTTCTGTCTGTAAATGGGCCTTTTGGAGGTGATATGCTCTTGGAGTGTGGATTTGCTGCTTGTTTATTTTTTTTATTTGCATTTTTTTAACTTTTTGTAAAATTATGTATACTGTGTTTATTTTTACCTTGCATATTTACTTGTCCAATTGAACAGTAAATTCATACACCACTAGCAGACAAGCATTAATGTCAAACCCTGCTTTAAATTTATCTGAAGTTCCTTGCACCTTCAGCATTGTTAGTCCTCCCATGCCCATTTTGGTCCAATTATTTCATAATCTTGTCAGATACATTTCCAGCTATGGAAAATTCATTCATCTTTTGCATCCAAAATTGTTTTGCTTGTAGAGCTGTGACCCTTTTACATTTTTGTCTGCTTGTCAATTCGTAATTGTTACATCATATATTTGCTCAGATAATGTTTCTTGGTTTAAACAAGCTTTAAAGCATTGCTCAAAGCAAAGTGAACTTTTTAATAAATCAGAAATCAAATTTTTTCAACCTTTTTTTGTAAATGTGATTCTTCAGAGAATATATATCATTTGACAAGCTTTTGTTATTCTAATTCTGTTGCTCATATTTTGTCTGATTTTATGTTTATGCTGAGGTGAGCACATGTTTATCTTGTCTCTTTGTGATGGGTCAATTTTTTTTAAACCCTTTTTGTGGATTCTAGATATCCCACTATAGAACTTGCCAAAAAGTGCCTAAACCAGTTTTGTCTTTCAAGGCTTATTAGTGATAGGAGAGTAAGCATTGTGAGAAGTGTGTGAGCTATAAGTAGTTTTCGCTGGTGACATGGCATTGCCTTAATCCTTTGTGCAGTCCGCCTACTTAGCAGTACATTGTTTGTTAGCCACCTCAATGTGTGAGTAAAAAAATTACGCTTGTACTGTGTAAATGGTGTCATATAACTGTACTTTTGTCATTTTGTTTGGGGATTGTCCTTTGCCCTACTCATTCTTGATGGCCTTATCATATAGTGTCAATGTAATAGTGTTCTGATTTTTAAATTTACACAATTTTCCACCTACCCCAGAGGGATATTAGTCTCTGAGAAATGTTTCTTCTCCTGCACTCAGAATTTCCTGAGTCATTTTGTGTCCATTGTTAATACTTTATCAGAGTTGCTACTGACCAATGAAAAGTGAAGACCAAAGACATCCTCCAGTATGCGTAACAACTACAGGAAAGCACAAACAGCAGCACAGGCTTTTGATATGCAGACACTAATAGCAGCTATGTCCATTTGCTTTGAGTAGAGTAAGCTTGCCAGAGAGTCTTCTTTAAATACAAACTTTGCTTGTAAAAAGCAGTGTAATAGCCACAGGGTTCATAGCATCGACTAAAATGCCAGTAAAAGCTGAAATTCTCTATGTAATTGACATTCTTAAGTCAAATAAGGATCTGAACAGGGTTTCTTCTTCTCCAGACTTCAGCACACTGCCTCAAACACTTTATTCGGCTCATTAGCTAATTAGAATGGCCTTCGTGAACTGAATTCAGTTTAGTGTGTCAGATGAGGGCAAATGCTAATCTCCACAGCACTTTGCCCCAGAAAGTCCCCAGTTGACATGCCTGGATTAGATAGTATAGTTAATAGCTCAGTGATCAAATTTTGTGTACAGACACGTTAATTTACAACTGGAATGAATGTGATTAATAACTTGATAGTGAATAAATACATCTCATTCACTGCCGAAATGTGGGGAAAAAAAAAAGTGAAGTCTGAATTAACAAGCATTGTGGAGCACTTTTTGGCATTTCATTTGATGGCTTCTACCCAATGTTGTGCATCTAAAATGGTGGCAACAGTGTATACAATGCATACAATACATACAATGTATGTATATTTTTATTTATTTTTATTTTTTTTGGGGCTCCCATAAATTTGTTTAATATAATAACTCCTTCAAGCACTGAGAATATATGTGGTGAAATTATTCCAATTGTAATTGCTTAAATAAGCATGTAGTTTGGAAGCATTCTTTATCACTAACAGTTGTCTACTTCAACTATTGTATTACAATTCATCATTGCAATGATGAATAACCTTCTATATTTCTTTCTTTTGCAGGTTTCTAAGCATTAAGGTGATTTAATGAAGCAGAGCAGAAGAGTGGTTGTAGCAGGATTTGCCTTCCAACCATACCTTGGCATCTCGGATTAATTTCACCAAAACCTGCCAGGCACTGTGGGGCAACCCTTATCCTGTTAAGAACTTTTTGTTTCATAAACTACATATGTAATCGGCATATATAGATAAAATGCTCTGCATATATCTATATATTGGTATGTATATACTATATCCATAAAGAGAGCAAGCTTGGTATGGAATTTGAAGCTGTAGCCTTTTCTATCCTGTCCCTGAAGACTTTTTCCCCTTATCTTTTTCTTCAAAATTTAAGACTTTAGAAAATGATTGATTCTCTGAGGATATAATTGTGCACATGCCAATATTTTCCTGGAGTTTTCTCATTAAGGTCAATGGCTTGGGTTCCCACCTCATTCTTGTATTATGTCACTGGTTGTCAAACACATTCTTCAGATGGGAAACATTTTTCTCCTGTTTTTTTCCCCCTTTGTTAAGCAAAGTTGAAAAGATGTATGACTAAATCTGTTTTGCTATAAAGAAATCCTGTCTATTACTAAGCAGACATTGTTCTTTTTCCTCTTAAAAGGTAATTAAGGTTCTGCCTGCTGATCTGTGCTAGAAGAGCTTCTAATGTGAAGATAAAAAAATTCTAGTGACTACTAGATTCCTCTTTAGAACGCTGCATTAACTGTTATTGTACTTGATATTCTGAAGTCAAAAAATTAATAAAAGAATGAAAATCCACAAAAGCATATTCATTATAAATTAGGCATCACTCCAGCAAACCTGTATATTAAATGCTTAGATGAAAAAGTATGTGTAAATTATCTGGGTTTGTTTGCTATTCTGAAAAATTATGTTGATTTGACAAACTATTCATTAATAGCTATGATGGCCATGGATGAATTTTAATTTTGGAGGTGGGAGTGGGGGGGTGGTGTTGGGTGCGCTTACTCCACCTTTCCTATTATGATTTTATGTATTTTTAATGAGGAAAAAGAAGTTTTTCGGTTTTAGTTGTCAGTCCCTAAGTTCTATATTGGATTAATGACTTTTGGGTAAAGTAGTGGTGTTTTGGGAAAAAGACAAGTTTTTCTCCGTGCTGTGAAATTAACCCACCTGTCTCCAGGACTTTTTTTCAGGTTTTAATCCCTAATTCTTGTCCTCCTTTATTGTTGGGGATATATTGTTCATTTTGTTTTATATATATTTTCAAGTCTTGTAAGGCAATGCATTGAATTTCTCTGTTTTTAGCCACAAGGCATAAGTAACTCAGCAACTTGGACGTGGGTGTTTTCCCCTTTCTTTTTTTCCTCTTTTCTTTTTTTGGTGTGTGGAGGATGATTTTTCTCCTCCCTCCAACTAACCCCCCACCCACTTCCTTTTCTCTGACCCAGCTTACACTATTTACTGCTGGATGTTCTATAAAGTGTAACTTATTCCCTTTTAGCATGTTGAAATAAATTAAAAATGACTTCTGAGAACTGCTGGCCCAGTCTGTAATTTAAAGGGAATGTACAGAACTGCTAATTGTGGTAGTTAATGATGTCCCTTTCCATTTTTTTCTGCTACTGAAGGAGTGAAGGTCCTTCAAATTGTGTTAAAAGAGAAAGCAATCTTTTGATGGAAAACTCAACGTTTAGTGGATGTGTAAAGTATTAATACTAGAGACATCGGGGGCCTAGAAATGGACTAAATGCATTGCTGTAATTTAGGGAAGCAGCTCCTGTAAAGTGAATGTGAGGCTGCTGAGTAGTTACATGCATTTACATTTCTGCCTATTAAAATGGATTCAAATGGCAAATGTTTCATGTTTGTCATTTACAAACAGATCTGGTAGCAACTAACTAAGAAAGCTGCTTAGAATACGTTGATTGTTCTTAAGGAAATTTTCAGTGTTCAGTGCACACACAAAAGATGAGTCACATAACTGAAGTTTTTTTTTTTTCTCCCCCCCTTTCTCCATTTGAAATGTGCCTTTCCTCAATTTATATACATTATGATGCATTGCTTACTGCTTATGTGGTGCTTTTACTCTTTCATCTGAATCTTAAGTGTTATACAGGGGAAAACTGCTAAATGCAGTTCAGGTATGCCTACAGGTGTGGAGTTTGGGTAACACTGCTGTACTAAAGTTGCCTTAAATCATGATGTCGAATTGTAGGTTGCGAGTTCGGAATATGCGCTCAACATAGTGGTACTATGATCCTGCCTCGAAATTTATTCCATAATTCCAGTGAGCGAAAGATCTGCTGTAGCGATGTGCAGACCAGGGTGGTTAAGTTCCATTTGTCATGTGTACAGCAGCTGCTGGTGGACGGCCAAGCCATGTATGAGCATGGAGAAGTCTAACAAGTGTTTGATATAAATGCTGTCTAAAAATGTTTACCACTTAACCTAATTCGGAATTGTTAGTTACAAATAATGATTATTTACATATTACCATTTGAAAATTACTGAAGAAAGAAATCATACATGCAAAAACGAAAGTTTATGGTAGCGAGATTGCCACGTTTCTGACTTAGTTAAAATCTGTCAGGCTAAGGTTTTCAAAAATTTGACTTATACAACCGTAGAATTTTACGGAGCAACAAACGACAATAAAGAGTTTACTGTCAGATCAGGCTGCTGCAGTACAATCTGGTGGTGTGGAAATCCAGGTTAAAAGCAGGGATAGGGGAGTAGCTAAGTAGCGTGCTATTTTTTGCAGCTAACTACATTTTTTGTACCTAATAGCTATAGCCACTACAGTTTTTATGAACTGTAGCTAATAGCTGTAGTGCCTACAAATTTTTGTGTAGCTATAGCGATAATTTTCGCTACAATTTTGCTTCAGACTTTAGGCAATCCGCGCAAAATTTGAACCACAGAATGCGGTCGTTAACTGGGCTAGTGGCGACTGTGCAATCCTGACTGAGCCGCAGACAGTTTGAGGAAATGGTCACGTGCTGCCCCCACGCGCTGATCACCCCTTGCTAGTAGGCTTAGCTCGGGGGTCGGCAACCGATATGTTAAGAAGAGCCATTTTGTCCTTTCAACAAAAACGAAACCACCTTGGGAGCCACAACATTTTATGTCCGTTTTACCATCTTGGCTGTAAATGTGTCTCAGTATGTGTTAATATACTAGAATAGACTAAAAATATAAACGAAAATGCAGACTTTGCTCTGCTTTAACCTTCAGGTCAGCTGTAGGCGCTTTTCTCGCACCTCAGTCAGGAAACTTTTTAGCGAAAGCACAGTTTCTTGTAAAATGGCTCTCAACGTTCGAATTTTTGTGAGGCTCAAGTCAGCTTCTCGTTCACCAGCTTCTTGTTCGAATTGTCCCGTTCCAGTGTAAATGGTGCCTGAGGCGCCAGAATGTACTGCTGCGCCATTTAAGGTGAAATGTAAATTCGAACAAGAAGCTGGTGAAAGAGAAACTGACTTTAGCTTCGCGACTTAGTGTTTGACAGTTTCTCGTTGCAGATTAAACGTATCTGGAAACCAGCTGGTACGGAGCCCCGCTGGTGACATCCTAGTGCATGCTGCCTCCGCTGTCAAGCCCGATAGTCCCCAATTGAGCCCAGCACATCCACAAACACTGAGCAAAGCTTACTGCCTTGGTGTCAGGGGCAGCAAACTTCCGTCCTGCACAGAATCCAGACACACCATCCTCCAGCTCTGCGTTGTCTGCTCCTGACATAAATGTAGCCCATCTCAGTCAATTATAAGTAGTTATGCCAAGTGCCCCTTTGGACAAATTGAGAGAAGCTTTAGTGTAGGCTGGTACCTGTCTCAACATATGGCTAGAACCAGGGCTACCGGAACCACGGTGGCAAGCGGGCATTTGACCCACCACTTTTCAAAATACTGGTGCGACAACCCATTACTTCAGGACGCGCACATAAAAACCTCCACTTTCCAGTGATGTGTCTACATTTGGGGCCAGTGGGGCCTGGCCCCACCAGATGTGGCTGTGGAGCGGTGCATGACATTATCAATAATTCACTATAACAACTAATATATATTTTTTTTTCTTCGTAACTAACGTTGTTGTGCATCTATTAGATATGACAATGGTAGGGCTGTCCGATACATTCCAAATATTCTCCTGCGTGTTGTGTAAATGCCAGTAGGCTACCTGTTTCTCCTGCTTGTCTTCGTTTGGTGAGTATGGGGCTGGCCCGTCAGCGTTCGACCAAGTGAGCAGTTAAAAAACACTCTGGGTATGTTCAACGCACTTTTAAGAACCAGCTGTGGGGCACGATCATGTTGCACTGATGCTGAGAGTAGCCAATAAAACATACATAATAAATTTACATATGTCCAGATATGTAGTAAACGTTGTTTATGGTATGGGTGTTGCCATGCAGCTAGTTATTGTTTATCATCAGTTGTGGTAGCCACTCATAATACCAAGGCAATATAATGAGTCAAGTCGAAAATGTACAAAAAGTTAAATTTGGTACCTTGCCATTAGAGCAGAAATTTGAGATCAAACGTTTGGAACCACCCCAGCCAGAGCATTTCAGCCTGGAAAAGACAAAAATTGCTCCTTCAATCCAGAGAGGTCTAACAGAAAACAAGGCTAAGTGTAGCTAATAACACTCTTCTGCTTTCCTTGCCTGCCCTTGCTATGCTGTCACTTGTGTTCATTCATGGATTGGTGGACTTTCAGATAAAAGTTTTTGACACATTTGCCCAGATGAAAAATTGTTGTGCATCTTTTCTTTTCAAGCATTAACGTCACTGGTGAGTCATTTTGCCTTATTCCAAGGCGTGTTATACCTACTGCCCGGAAAGCATGTGTTTCCCGATATGTTGGATCAGTTATGTAGTTGCAGACCACAATGATCATATACTGCTAGATAACTACGGATTTATAATTTGATGCTGTATAACAAAGTTTTGTGAGGTCTATGTCATTATCATATCATTCATATTCCTGTTTCCACTTCCATTAACTCCTGCACCACGTTATGTTAATTTGTGAATTTGCGATTTGATTGGAGTGTGTCTGTGTTTGAATCAGGTTTGTGTGTAGTTGTGTTTAGAACTGGCAACAAAACAAACACGGACACTGATCATGATCAGGTTCTGAGGTGGGTAGAGTAACATAAATGGGTAACACTTTACAAGTGTTGACTAACATGGAGTAATGCTTTAGTTAATATGAACAAGACATAAAGTAACCCATTAACAATGGTTACCTAATGTTAAGCAAACATGTAACAACTGCATTAGTGTTGTTTTCATATGAAGTGTTGACTTATTAAGTAATGCATCTATTAACATGAACAACAACTGAGGTTCTACATTGATAATGGTCAACTAATGTTATGTAAACATGTTACAACTACATTAGTTCATGTTTTAGTCTTTTGCTCATGTACTGCAGTTATACATAATGATTGAAAAAGTCAAGTCAAATTTGTCAAGTCAAATTTATTTGTATAGCGCTTTTTACAACTGATGTTGTCACAAAGCAGCTTTACAGAAATCCATTAAGGACAAAGTTTTAACATGAAATGTAAATCCTCCAAGTGAGCAAGCCAGGGGCGACAGTGGCAAGGAAAAATTCCCTCAGAGCTGAGGAAGAAACCTTGGGAGGAACCAAGGCTCACATGGGGGGACCCATCCTCCTCTGGTCAAACTACCTACAAAATTATTATACTACTAATATTAATAGTAGTAGTAATAGTAGTAGTTGTTAGGAGTCCATGAAAACTTCAGTGTAGAGTGGGAGTGGGCAGCTAGTCCAAG